TCTTCGACTTCTCCTTGTCCCTCGTCTTCGTCCTCTCCTGCCTTGTTGTTGTTCGCCTTGTGTTCCGCTGCCGGCGCGCCACGTGCCCGCGCCGCGTGGCGGCGGTGGCTGCGGCGCATCGGCCGGAAGCGCCGCGCCGCGCGCGTTTTTGCCCCGCGCCCCGAAATAGGCGCCCCGCGCTCCGCCTCCATTCAGACGGCGCCGGCGCGGCGCTCCCGCCCCGCATACCTGACGACGCCGCCGCCGCCGCCGCATTCTTGCTCGGTGTCGCGACGCGTCGCGTAGACCCGGCGTCGGCGTCCTCCGTTCGTATGTGTGATCCTAGAAGCCCGGAGCAACGTGGGTTTCAATCAATGTTGCGGTTGTTCAGGATTTTTCGATGGAAATACACAAGACGTGAAACAATTAGGGAAAGGACGCAGACACTCTTCCACAGACAGAGTGGAGGACAGTTACTGTGGTATACCATGTCGATTGTATGGATCACAATTTATGGGCAAACATGGCTCTTTTATATCAATCTCTTGAAAGAAGATGAGAAGAGGAAGACACAGAGTATTGAGGGTGGACAAAAAAGCCTTTGTGAAAGCGATAGAAGAGGAGAAAAAACTGAAGAATCCTAGTCTTTGGAGCCTCCGATGTTGAATACAGTTTATGTTGAAGGACTCTAGCAAGGGGAAAATGAATATTAGTTCGGAGAACGCAATAAAATAGTTATGCATGAGCCAAATATTGTGCTCATCTCCATTCATTTTGAAAGAAGTGACTCCAAGGTTTCTTGCTCTGAGTGGTTGTAATGTAACATTAGGGATTTCACTCAAACTCTGCCAACAGAGCAGAAAGGAGCGCAGTGTTCTCTGACGCCAGAGCGCCAAGAGGTCCATCCGGTCTCTCACCCACCGACGCGGCAGGGCTTAGCTGGTAGGAATCTTTTCAGTTTGTCACCTCTGGCATTGCAGTCTTCGATATTTCCTTTGACACCAGCCTCCAAATTAATTATAACCCATTTGATGCGAAGGAAATTTGTAGGGTGCTAACAAAACGACCGAAGTGATTAAAAAACTAAAACCTTGATTTCTGAAACTATTTTTTAAAGCAGCATCAGACCAAAGAAAAAAAATTATTTTTACGCAAAATTTGGTTCTGGAGTAGTAAAGAAGATGATATGAAAATCCCAGCTCGTAGGTACTCGAAGGTCGAGACTATCGAAATATGTGATGCTAATGATGATGAAAATGACGACGAAAATGACTTGAATTTCTTCAAATATAAATTATTCATGTAAAATCCTACACATTATTGAAATTGGAGTTTTGGGGAGGCTTTCACAGTAATACGTGTAAAATATATCTTTTTAGACATTCGCTCTCACCGGCGACTTCAATGCGTCGGTAATGTACTTGTGGTGAATGTAAAGATCAGCGAAAATCCTGCTCTAAGCTTCTTATTCATTTTTGTTTGTTCAGTATTTGCAACATGAGTGATGTCCACTCTCACTCTTACCAGGTCCTCTCCCACCCATTCCATTCTTCTACATCTTTTCTGGATATCGCTACACAGCCCCTCGCCACTGAAGCTTGGAACACAGGTCAACGCTTGTCAACGCCATTTCGGTCAACTCGGTACCTTTAATTTTGCTCTTTGCATCTTGTAGTACGCGTTTGTTTTATGGGATATCTGTGACACTTTCACAATATCAAAAAAGCAGGTTGTTTACGTCTTTTGTGTACACAACAGCTGTGTCAATGAGCTTGCTCATAGAAATTTTGTTTGAACTTTAAAACATTCTTATTTTATTTAAATATTTTTACTTCTAAGATAAATTGAGTGTTTTTGTAACTACGTACCGTACTCTCTAAGAGACTGTCATCGGGGAAATACAGCATTTCGTATTTCGAATTCTGGAATATTCCATGTCTTCGAAGCTCAATATAACAAAATATTCGAGTAGTCTCCTTTTTGTTTTCTCCTTCATTTTCAAGTCACAGTGGTCGACGTCAACTGAAGTTTGATATTATCCAATAGTTTGTTTTCCATTTCCCCAAGATTGCAGTGAATCCGCGGTTGGAAATTTCCGCTTTCGATCTTGCCCTCTCCCTGAGCTCCTCGAGCTGCGTGCCGAAGCTGTTCCTGCCGTGGCGTCGCGTCCTGCAGCCGAGAATAAGTGACGCGCGTCGCGTCGACACCGGAGATTATCAAAACAACGCCCGCACGGCTCTTGGCAGCCCCTCCTCTCGCCGCCTCGCGGCCTCTTCCTTCGGGCTCCTTCAATGGAACTCCGTTCTAAGGATGCTACCATTAAGCAAATATCACACGGTGGAGTAGGAGAGAAATACGCTGTGTGTACGTGTACCGTCTTGGCCGACAGTTCTTGCCCAAGTTCTCCTTATCTTTCTCCGTCTCCTTCTCCTCGTCCTCTTCTCCTCTAGCCCTATTCGTCGTGTCCTCCTCATCATCCTCCTTCCCTTCTCTTACTCATCATCTCTTCTTCTCCTCCTTATTTTCCTCCTACTCCTTCTTCATATCCTTCTTCTTCTTCTCCTCCTTCTTCTTCTCCTTCTCCTTCTTCGTCTCCTCCTCCTTCTTCTTCTCCTCCTTCATCTCCTTCTTCTCCTCTTCCTTCTTCTTCTCCTTCTTCTTCTCCTCCTTCTTCTCCTCCTTCTCCTTCTTCTTCTTCTTCTTCTCCTCTTCCTTTTTCTTCTCCTTCTTCTTCTCCTCCTTCTTCTCCTCCTTCTCCTTCTTCTTCTTCTTCTTCTTCTCCTCTTCCTTTTTCTTCTCCTTCTTCTTCTCCTCCTCCTTTTTCTTCTCCTTCTTCTTCTTCTTCTTCTCCTTCTTCTTCTTCTTCTTCTCCTCCTTCTTCTTCTTCTCCTCCTTCTTCTTCTTCTCCTCCTTCTTCTCCTCCTCCCTTCTTCTTCTTCACCTCCTCCTTGTTCGTCATTATCGTCGTCTTCCAACAGCACCGCAACCAAATTCGAGCCCTCGCCTGACACCCCGTAGCTCTGACGTCAGTGTTTCGAGAACTTTGGGTGTAAATGAAATTCACCGCCCGGCCTTGAGTTTGGGACAGGGGGCCGAGTTAGAAAGGAAAGGTCTCGCGCTATTTCTCGGCATTCGCCTGGAACTGATGCCATGAAAGCGACCGAGGAGTGTCAGTGACCTCTAGCATTCTCATATGGACCATGCTTTCGATCAATCTAGCTACTAGACCTACTCATGTATTACTCTCCATTCCCCTCCCCCCGACTATCCCGTTCGCATTTTGTTTGTCGCGGGTTGCATAACCATTGTGTTTTATGTCGTTTCTTCTCACCGGCTCTTCTAGGGATGCTGTTTGTATTTTACTCCAAAAGTATTATTTTCCCCCTACTTAAAAAAATTGAAGCCTCTTATTATAATATATCTAGTATATTATAATATACTACATCTTAACTTCGAACGGTCAGCTCATGAACTTAACGTGAAAGCATTATAGGCCCGGTCGCGTCAATTTAATTTAACATATATTTCTAGTTTCTGCACGTTTCTGGCCATCCACGCATGCTATGGAGTGCGGGTAGCTAGGAGCTAAATATCTGACAATATAACAAAAAGTTGCAAAGGTAATAGTTTTGTACAATTCTGTGTGAAAAACACAACTCGGGCTTCACTTTCCCTCCGCATGCTCCCTTAATACTCCTCACGCGTTCTCCGTACGTTCGCACCTTCCCTCCAAGTTTCCCGATGTTTCCCAAACGCACCTTCGATGTACCCCGTAAGGTCACTTATCATACATTCCCCCTTTCTGACATTCATCTCGTGGTTCACTCCCTACTCTCCCATCCATTCATTGTCCATCCATTCAACGCAAGTTCCCGCACATGTTATTCTGAATGTTGAATGATAAAAAAAATGTAATTTGAATATTTTAGTACGAAAAAAATACTTTTATTAAAGTACTGAACTATTTAAAATTTATAAAAGTTCTGAATAATTGGAGTAGGTATTAGAGGAAAAATCCTCAACATGTGATAGGAGAGTAAAAAATATTTTAAAAAGAAAAAAAAATGTCCGAAAACGTTCATTTGTGCGATGTCGTCGTTCGCAGGCGCTGGCGGCTGCACTTCCTGCGCCTGGACGGGCTGTCGCTGCTGCTGGAGGCGCTGGGCCACCTGCGGCCGTCGTCGGTGGCGGACGCCGTGTGCGTGCACGAGTGCGTGGCGGCCATCCGCGCCGCCGGCAGCACGCGCTCGGGGCTGGCGTTCCTGGCGGCGCGGCCGCGCCACACGCGCCAGCTGGCCGACGCGCTCGCCAGCCGCAACCCCACCGTGCGCCTGCAGGTGCTGGAGCTGCTGTGCGCCGTCAGCCTCACGTCGGAGCGCGGCCATCGCCTCGTGCTCGACGCCCTCACCCACCTCGCGGTGAGCACTCGCTCGTTCAGTGTTTCCTCCGGGTGCGCCAACTGATATGGTCATTAGTCGCGTGAGCGCGGTGAAAGTTTTTATCATGACAGATGGCGGGGTTCTTCCCGGCGCCGACCTACAGCTTGACTTGCGGCGTTTTCCCCTGACCAGGTATCTCTCACCTCGCGATGTTTGCTAGTATAACGCACGTAAGTGTGCGTAAGTAAGGAATAAGGATAGGATAAGGAGGAGGAACGAAACATCGTGCACGGTCCGTGGCCTCTTTATTAGGGAACTACTCCGACATCCGCCTAGTGTTGATCGGAGAAACCACGGAAACTGAACTACCGATCTGAGCAGCCGCTACAATTCTTCACCAGGAACGACTGATTTCGATCCAGGTGTGCCCCCTAGGACCTCTCGGTCAGGCGGTGTTGTTGCGGCATTCGCCTGGTTTTTATCGGAGAAACCACAGAAAGCTTCCGATTAGAGCAGCATTAGAATTCTCCTCCAAACCGCGTCTGAACTCGACATAGCTCTCTAAATAGTGTCAAAACTCTTTCCACGTCGGGAATCGAACCCACGGATCTCCGGTCAAAAACAATGCAGTGACATCAATTGATGATTACTCCGCTGGCGCGTCACAGACAAATCTGAGAACTGTGATTAAAAAACGCCGATTGGTCAGTGGTCTGTTCAATAGCACATGCTCTAAATTCAATATCACAATAGCTTTCACTTCTCAGTCTTCGATAGTGAAATTTATTGATTTAAATAAAAACGCTGCCGCGTTCAAAATAATTATCCATGAAAAATGAGCACTAAATGCGCCTGTATATTGTCGACCTCAAAAATGCAGGTTTGTTTCGACAATCGACAGGTCAGTTGCAACACAACAGATATAGGTGAAACAGACTGTTTATGTATTGCGTTGTCGCTTCTACTGCAGTCAGGGCGGTTATTTTTCTGATCGATGAATAGTAATGAAATGAACTGTCCCAGCCGAGGCTTTGCACTAGTTAGACCGTTGGTTGTAAATTATGTATGAGGGTTTTGGTTAATAACTAAAAGGGCCTTGATCATGACCTGTCGACGGCCCCAAATAAAATTGAATACTGATCGTAAGTAATAAAAATAACTTTTGCCGCTTAAAAATTAATAATTTAGTTTTATGTGTTTGTAAACTAACTTAAAATGTTTGAAAACATTATTTGAGCACCTTAAACAAGGTCTTCGTCTGGTTCTGCATTCTCTGGGCTGAACTATACATTTGCTTGTCCACTCCGTTTGCGGGCGCTGCGTGGAGGAAGAAGAGGGTCATGACGTCCCTAGGTGGACACTTACGGTAAAGCTTTAGGCCACCCAGAACATTTTGAAATGGGCTTCGTAGCCTCAGACTGTTAAACATTTTCACCTTTAATTATGTTCAATCATTGACGTTTTCAACTTAAATGCGTTGGAATGGGGCAGTTTTGAGAATCAAAGTATTTTAAGTGTACCTTTACTTTTGCCGCCGCCAAAAACACAACAAAAAAGTTCTATGGGCCCTCTAGCGAAGTGGGAATGGGTAAGCCGAAGTAAAGTTGAGCCACTTCACATACTCTTGATGAGTTAATGGAGCAGATTGTGCGTTGCGCGAGTGGTGACGGGTGGCTGTATGGTTTGCAGGCGCGCCGTGGGGAGCGTCACGCCTTCCAGCCGCTGTTGGCCGAGCTGGCAGCCGCTGACACGGCCGTGTACCGCGCCACCGTCCTCGCGCTGCTCAACTGCCTGTTGCTGGGGCAGCCGCACGTCGCCGCCCGCCACCGCCTGCGCCAGACGCTGTTAGGTGCGTCTCCGCCCCTCTGGGGCCCAGACCGTGAACGCCCCGCCCGGCCCCGCCCCGTCCCGCTCCGTCCCGCTCCGCTCACCGCGCCTCACGTCGCTCTTCCCGCCCTTTGCCCTCCAACCCCGTCCCGCTTCCGCCCTTCTCCATCACTCACCGCTCTAACCAAAATAAATGCTTATTAGTTAGTATACACGATATAAATGTTCATTTAAATCTTTTCATATTTTATTATAGACATAATTAAAATCTGTTAAGATCTTACAGTATTCTCGCGATTATCGGAGGTAATTTGAACCGATATTACTTCGGATTAGAAAAAAAACCTCTCATAATCGGGACCCCACATTTACACGTTTTTCAATGTCCATTTCCAATAACAGACAGCCATTTCAATGACTCGAAACACATTTATTTTATTTATTTACCAAAAAACTAATAACACTTTGTAGTTCGTACTACGGGAGAACTGCTATCTGTGCACATTTTCTTGAGCTCTGAGATTCCTAACGTAATGCATATTAAGTAGAATTGTGAGTTCAGGTATTATATCCGCACGTTTTCTTGAGCCTTGAATATCTACCCTTACTCCTTCTTCAACATTAGTTGAATTAAGAATAAATGATAGCAACGAGCGTTGTAGACAAAATCTGGTAACAAGAAATGTTTACTCCCGTGTATTAGAAATTATTTTGCATCGAAAAATAAACTCCAAATTCGATGTAAAATTCCTTTCGTGAAAATAACCAAACTCCCCACTCTCCTCTCATATCTAGCGGAGCGACGGTTCAAGAAAACTTGCGCGGATAATAGCAGCGAGGGTTTTATGCAAGAATTGATAAGAAAATATTTGCTCCCATGTATTGAAACTATTTGTGGAAGCAAACCACATGCAGTGGATCTTGCCCTAACTGAATGAATCGTCTTACTGCCGCAAGAAAATGGAGAACGATACTTCGGGTACGAACAAACGATGGTATTTGGATTTTTGTTCCCCACTGAGCTCAAGGGAACGTGCACAGTTAATGAAGCTACATTTATGAATAGAAGCAAAACAAGCAACCCTTATCCATCTCAATTTTGTTTCAAGAGAATCCACGACTTGTTTTCGTTTTACACTCATAGCTCAACAAACAACTATGTTCTCTGTAAAAATACAAATTAACATTCAGAATACAGTATAAATTAATGAACACGTTAACTTCAAGTTTCACAAATACAACTAAAGCTGAGAGTGATAATAAGAAACTGAAACGCGATGATTGATCATCAAATCCGATTATTTTCGAATTTGGGGAAGTCCCTACATATACAACTAGTACTAATAATTTTTGCTT